AAGTTAGAGACCCTCAAAGCCAAGGCTGTTGGGGCAGATCCAGGAGCACCTTGAGCTCGCAGAGATCTTGCGCCTTGACTCCCATATCACTAAACATGATTACACCAAATGATGTCACGAAGTGGTTTCTTTCCGCTACCCCTTTCACAAAATGTCCTGATGCTGCCGCCCAGCCCAAAACCATCAAGCAGCCTCAGGGGCAGCAAAGCTACACGTGCTGAAGCCCATGCTCAGTGGGAAGCCAAGTTTGTTGGAACATTGGGTGGCAATTGCGTGAGTGAACGAACCGGAGATTGTACATAATTTACTGAGTATTTTTATGCACCATAAATGGAATTGGAAAAACAATGTTTTGATTTGAGTACACTCATGTAAGTATATGACTTCAAATGGCATGGCCTAGAAAAGTTACACATAACTTTCAATAGCATGACCATGCATGACCTCATCATCACTTTAATCCCATGAACTGGCCAAGGCCGTTTTTGCGGGCAGTCCGCAACAAACGCCCCAAAGAGGACGAGGAGGAGGAGGAGGATGACGAGGGCGAGCCGGCGCCAGCCCCAAAAGCTAAGAGCAAGGCAAAGGCTAAAGCCAAGGGCAAAGCCCAGAGTCGTCCTTCCAAAAAACAGAAGAAGTGATGAGTTCAAAGTGTTTCAAATGTTTTGGGGCAGGGCCTGCTGGATAGGCAACTGTGTGTCTACAGGATGCGAGCCAGCAATGCCCTATCAAATTTAACAAGGGAAATCCTTTGACAGTTGTGTCTCAAAGCGCTGTGTGGCACTTAAGTTTTCACAACCTGTGTCGCGCACTCTTGGCAGACTTGGGGGACCGTGCTTCAAAAAAAATTGCCACTGCACTGAATCAGTCTTTGAGTTCAAATTTCCACAGCCGGCCTTTGCCGACTGCATGGGTCCAACATATGAGCCTCAGCTGCGCCAGGTCGAGTGGGACCTTTGGGAGTTCATGCCGCCTCATGCATTGCAGACGGAGCTGCTTGTCCAAACCTATGATGTCAAACATGTCATGTTTTCCGCAGACTTTTGCACCAAATATTTAAACGATGTTTTTGCACAGTCATCTGACGACAGTGGTCATCACAGACTTTTCCAAAAAACATCCTGTGCATCCATCTTTAAAAAAATATTATATATGCTAAAATATCTTATTTATAAGTATATGCTAAGATCTTATATAAGTCCAAAAGTGTCCCAGTGGAAAGAAGAATACGCGCATGAGAGCAAGAAGATAGATCAAGAGAAGAGAAAGGTGGAAAAGTCGCGAAGAGCGCGCTGTTTTTTTTTTCAGCCATATGAGGTTCCGCACGGGATCAATCCAGCCAGAGTGTCAGAATAATGCATCCAACATCTGGAGACGTTATCATCGATACGTTGAATTAGGACAGGTCAACATGCAGGAGATTGTGAACTTTGAGCAGTCACAACAAAACGTCGAAGGAAGGTTTCCAATACAAAGAGACATGTTTCTTCTGAGTAGGATCTAACCACTCACCACGCTGTTTTCTCCGCTGTTTTGTTGCAGAGCGGTCGGAAAATTAGCTCGCAAAAGCCTTAGGTGCAAAGACCGTTCACAGAATGATAACCGTTCGTGAGGATTGTTTGAGAGGCAGAGCGCCTTACTCTTCACAATTCTTTGTGGCACGCTAAGGCTACTGCAACTTCAGTCGCGTCCATGGCAAAGGCAGCTGTGCAGCATTTTGGCGGCACTGCATGTCCGGTGACCTCAAGGTTAAGTGAGGTCCGAGCTGATAGAGCTGAATCAGCCTGCCACGAATTGCTCACTGGCAGCATTAGTTTGCGTCTTCATTTGGCACAACATGTGGTTGATTACGTTGATTAATTGATTGACTGGTTCGCTTTTGCCAAATGTCTTGGTGCAAACATGGACATTCCTGCTATGACAGTTCCTTTTGACTTGTTGGCCGTTTTGTGACCAACGTATTCCTTTCCAAAAACAACTCCAGGTTTCAGCGGCATGGCCTCGCTTTGGACATCCCCATCACTTGGATCGACTTGCCGAAAGGAGATGTCCAGTTTCCAGTGCTGAAAATGACTGACACAATCCAAAATCTGGTCAAGTGCAAGCTGGTCAACAAACTGTTGGGGGAACTGGACATGTCGAAGGCCGAAAGCACCCTTCTCACTTTTTGGAGGAGGTTCAGCAAGCAAAACCCAGCGCACCAGGTCTTTGCTGCCAGCGCACGGGGCGATTGCACACTAGCCCGGAGCATTCCAATCATGATACATGGCGACGAAGGTCGGGGGTTCAAGCGCTCTGGCATCATGATTTTGAGTGTACAGGGGGCAATTGGAAGAGGCAGTACTCCTTTTTTGAAAGCCCATCCTGATGGCCATGATCGTGAACAGCGCATGGCTGTAAACATCAAGGGCACTTCCTACAACTCTCGGTTCCTGTTTGGGGCTATGCCAAAGAAGCACTACAGCTGCAACCCGGATTCTTGTCCACATGTTTCGATGAATTTTGTTTTTGCGTAGACTTCGATATAGGTCAATTGAAAAACTTTTAGTCGCAGCCAGTTTTTTGTCGCGGGTTGTTTGCGCCAAGCGGTTTCCTTTTGAAATGCGCCCCGACTGAGGAGAACTACCAAGCTTTCTTTAAAGCCTTGGTTGATGATCTGCTGATTCTGCAACAGGGCTTCCAGTACGAAGGGAAGCGGTACCACCTGATCAACGTTGGAATGAAAGGGGACCTTCCCTACTTGGCCAAAACTGGCAACTTCGATCGCCACTGGCTTAGGGCACAGCGAAAAGATCCGAGCAAAGTGACAGTGAAAAATCCAGCAAAGCCAGCAGGAGTGTGTTGGCTTTGCAATGCAGGAATGAGTGGGTGCGGGCCATTTGAGGACTTCAACTTGGATTGCGAATGGGCCAACAGTGCAGTCCCGGAGCCTTGGAGTGTCAGACCTTCGGCTCTCGACTTGTACCATGACCCGACTTGCCCAGAAAGGGTCTTTCGGCCAGATATTTGGCACAACTATCACGGTGGTGTCGGGAAGCTGTTCATAGCATCATCTTTGGCTGAATGCTTGAGTTTGGTGGACGCCACTTCCAAGGATAGCAAGATTGAGAAAATGAATTTGGACCTGAAAGCGTGGGCCAAAAAAGTTGGCAACTCTATGCCGCATTCCGGCCGCTTTTGTTCCGAAAGGATTGGGCTGACTTCTTACCAAGTCCAGCCTGATGCCAACTGGTCCAAACATGATGACACGCGGATCTACCACAAATTCTTGGAAGACTGGTTAACGCAACGCGAAGCTGAGGTGCTGAGAGATCCAGTCTTATCTCGTGTGCTTTGGGCCGTGCGAGCCATCAATCGCGTCTTCGCAGTGCTGTACCAAGGGGGGCTGTGGCTCACCCAGGATGAAGCCCAGGAAGCTGGGAAGCTTGGGAGGCACTGGCTGAGGCTCTATGCGGAAGTGGCAGCTATCTCATTGAAGGCGGGGAAGCTGAGATTTCCGATAGTGGTTAAACACCACATGTTGGATCACCATTTCCGAGATTTGCTTGCTGGATCACAGCATGTTTGGACTTGGAACTGTCTAGCTGACAGTGTCCAAATGGACGAGGACTTTATAGGACACACGGCACGGCTAAGCCGCCGTGTAAGTCCGGTCTCCACGGCATTTAGAGTCATTCAGCGATATCTTACCAGAGCCATGAAAACCTGGCTCAACAGGGGTGCTCGTTAGTGCTAGGGGATGGCGCGGACGAGAAAGAAAAGGAGCGGAGAAAGAAAAGGAACAGAGAAAGAAAAGGAACAAGACCGCGTCCCACAAATCATCACTGGGAATCCCGGCATCTCACTTCAAAGGGCGCTGCTCGTTGAGCAGGATGGAGTGGGCCAAGGTAAATCATCACATGACATTCCCCATGGCTGGAAAACCAAATTGCCAAAATTACACCCCTCAAACCGTATATGGGCATATCTGGGTACAACCCGTAATAGCCAAAAAAAATGACAAAAACCGTATGGACAAAAAAATTTGGCCATTTGGTTTTCCAGGTATATATATATATACACATACAATTATATACATATATATATATATATATATGCACCAGGCCCTGCCACCCCCCCCTCCCCCCCCCATATGGGATGGGTCCCATATATTGGTCCCATATGAGATCTTCCCCCTCCCCCCCCTGTGGTGTGGTGGGGGTGTGGCACTGTCCCCCTCCCCCCCCTGTGGTGTGGTGGGGGTGTGGTATGGTATGGTGGGTATGTATGGTGTGTATGGTCAGTCTGGTATGGCATGTTTGGAAAGTATGGTATGTTTGGTATGTATGGTAGGTATGATATGTATGGCATGAGTGGTTGGTATTGTATGGATGGTAGGTATGGTATGTAAGTCTGTTGGATATGGTATGTTTGATATGACAGTATGTATGGTCTGTATGGTATGTATGGTTACTATGATGGGTATGGAATATGTCCTATCTAAGGTAGGTATGGTATGTATGGCATGTATGCTTGCTATTGTATGTATGCTATTGTATGTATGGTAGGTGTGGTAATTACATTTCATATGTATGGTATGTATGGTATGTATGATAGATATGATAGGTATGGTATGCATGGCATCATTGACATGTATGGTAGGTACGGTATATGTTCAACAGAGGTAGTGTTGTCAGAGTACACAGGTAGTAAACAGGAAGTAGATACAGTAGATACATAGCACATGTATGTATGACTATAGGTAGCACGTAGGTACTTTGAAGGAGTATGTGTGCTACGTAGGTCGCCTAAAAGGTAGCATGTACCTAGTAAATGCGAGGCTGGTAGTCAGAAATGCTGCAAAGACCTAGCAAATACGACGCTGGACCTCAGAAATGCTGCCAATAGCTTGCAAATAGAAGGGAATTGGGGCTACTACCTGGGGACCCAACCCATGGGGGGGGGGGGTGGAGAGACGGAGGACGGGACCATATATATACATCCCATTATGCACTCACTACATGCCCGAAAATCGATGGGATTTGGCCAAATACTCTACTCATATCTACTCCGATGCCATGATCAGCGAGGATCCTGCCAAGGGCTACAGACTGGAGTCCAAGGTCTAGACCGGTTTCGAACGCTGCAGGTTTTGATGCATAAGTGATGCTTGAAATGTCAAGGTTATGTGGACATTGAATACTTGGTGAAAAATATTGAAAAATCATGTTCCGCGATGATATTATATATATCTTTATATATGGTTTTATATGGTTTTATATGTATATATTATGATATCATCATACATCATCATACTGATTTTGACCGATGTTGAAGACGAGGCAGTCGCCCTCCACACCTTGGTGGTGTCAATGTTCACCGCAACTACATCCTGTAGTGAAATTATAAAATCAAAGCAATATATCCAACTGATATATACATTGGAAATCCTCAATTGATATTTGAAACAACTTGGAAGTGTGTGTGGAGGCGTTGCTAGTTTCAACATGTTTTAACCGCGTTTTTGCGATTGTGTCAAATATGTTTCATCAGCAGTCATGGAGGTTGACTTTCCGGCGATCCTGAGCTAGCAACAAGGAAGGAAATCTGAATTGACATATTCACAGGACCAGTAGAATTGACCTTTTCTGAATTCTGAATGGATTTTGCATGATTTTAAGCCTTATGTCGGACATATTTTTAGATCATTCTGATTGTTGCTTATCATGTGTCACGTATTTGGTTGCCTGCTAGGTGGGGATGAATGCAAGATGGCACGGACGGTTGCTGATCCGTTCAAAGGTGTGTTGCTGGGCATGGAATTTGCTGTAACTACTGGAACCCCAGTTTCAACCATAGCCATGGGCCATGCTTGTAAATCCCTGGGGCTCAGAATCCCTACATCAACAATGGTTGTTTCTCCGGGTAAACCACCTCCCAGCTATTTCTAGCTGGGAACTGGGGTTCCAGGATGTTCCAGGCATGGGCCAATGGGCATGGGCTTGTCACATGGTGACAACCTGCAGGACCTCACGTATCCTGAACAGGCATCCTTGAGAATACCCTCTGGTAATTTAACATAACTATGGAAAATCACAATGTTCAATGGGAAAATCCACTATAAATGGCCATGTTCAATAGCTATGTTAGTCATAACCAGAGGGTAAATAGACATCCTCCGTTATGATCCTCGATCCCCAATTCCCAAAAACCGTCCACCTTTTGATGCACAGATCATGCCGTTAGCCGCTAAGGTTTTGCGTCCAGTTGAGCGTCTGAGTCTGGCTCCGCTGTGGGGTGTTGTTTGGTGCCTCTGCGCGGCGGCAGCTGTTGGTGTGCTGAGTCGTCCGGTTACTCCATGCTGGGAGTGGTTCAATGTCCAGAATAGTTTCCTTTCATTTCGGCTTTACTCTCCTAGAGTGTGCCAGAAGATCGCTTACACTGGCTTACCCACTCCAGAAGGCAACAGGTTGAAAAGAACACATAAAGATGTAAAAGAAGGGGCCGGAAAGGGGGAACACTGTTCTTAGCGTGTATTACGAGCCTTTTTCTGTAGCTGGGGGGTTTAGTTGTCAGCATGATTGTTTTAAAATTTTTAAATAGTGCCTCGACTTCACCGCTATGGTTATGCTCTGGTTCACCATGGACCGCCATCGTTCAAATCGGAGTGCCCGGATTTAGTGGCCAAGTTGACAACGCAAGGGAGGGCGGCGGTCAAAACTGTGCAGCTGAGACGTTAGTGGAAGTTCAAGCTAGTTGCAAGCACTGGCAAAATTGGTGTGGCAATCCCCTCTGTTCACAGATATCCCATGAGATGCCAAGCGACGTGTCAGACATTATTCAAATGGTTCATTTCCTTCATTAGGGATATCAGGCTTTGATTGAAAATATGAAATGCCCAAATCCCATGAATCTTCATGTTCCCCTTGAGAATAGCCCATGTTCAGACAGCCCCATTTCGTTCATTTCTTCATGTTGACAGCTAGCTGGGGTGGTTTGCCCAGTGTCTTGCACAATATTCAGCCACATTGGGTCAAGTATGAAAATCATGGGGTAAAAACTTGTAAACAATGGCACATGGGCAAAATTAACAAACTTTGAGAAACAAATTATATGTGGGTAAACCTCTTTTTTTTTGTAAAGTAATGTGAAGTAATGTAAAGTATCTACCTTTTTTGCCTAAAAAAAGGACCAATTTTTATGGCTACAACTGGAGGGTCACAAATTGTTGCTGGACCAACTTTCCAGGCTGGGAAGCCTTGGATGTTCGACATGAGTTGGCCTTCCTACGCGCCACGGTCAGCGGGGCAATGGCCATGGGTTTTTGTCGGGAAATCATCCCCAAATGGCCCAACCATTCAGGTTAGTGAAATATTATTTCATTTACCCAGATCTATGATATATTCATGATTATTCATGTATGATTATCATCACATTGTTTTTTGTCATGCATAGTCAAGAATTCATTGTGTTGTAAATGTCAAATGTGTTTGAAGTTGGTGGAAAAATGCTATAGTGGTCACCTTTTTGATCCGTAGGTAACAAGTCCCCAGCGACATCGCGACATCGAAGCATCGCTGCGCCAGGCCCTGTCTATGGGTCACAGTTATCAGGCGCGGGTCACCCGGGTCAATGGTGGCCATCACATCCAGGGGCGACAGGGACGAGTGGGGCCAGTGGGGCTGTTGCCATCATGATAAATTATGGCTGTTGATTGGGGAGTTAATAGTTTTTTATTGCCCATAGGATCCATGTATGCTATATATGGTCACATTTACCATCAATATACCCCCAATGTTAGCATATATACCATACATGGATCCTATGGGTTACGCTTCAACATGTTTACAATACTACCAAACAAAGCAATCCCCTGCCTGACCAATCAGAGGGTAGCCAGGCGATGACGCGAATGAATAGCGCAGCCAGTGCCCTGACGATGCGTTCAATGCCCACGGTGCGGAGACCCAGTGAACATTTCATTGGGTGGAGATATCAACCATTGGAATATTGCAGAACAAGTCTTTTGTTTTTCTAGGATACTGTAAAAGGGAGGAAATCCGGGCCCCACTGATATTCGAATGAGACATGGCAACTTGTCGGTTTTTACCAGTGACTTTGTCTAAAATGTGTTTCGACATCAACAAGAACAGCAGTACTCGAGTGAACACATATTTTTAAAGAGAAGTTTCCCCTGGCTCTGAAATTGGTTTGTCTGATAATTTCGGGGAGAACCACCAAACCATCCGGTTGATCATAATTCTTCAGCATTTCCCCGAAAAAAACATGGGCCTTTTCACTGGGAGCTTCATCCCCCAGAAATCCGCCGGAAATCCGAGACCGCTGCTGGAGCGGAGCCTACAGCCTGGGACCCAGCCTGGTTGGATCAGGTTGGATCCATACGGTCCGGATATTCCATGGGAATATCATTAATCAATGGATTGGTTTTGTTGGGAAAATCTTAACCGGAAACCCATGGGTTTTTTACCCATGGGTTTTTACCATCAAATTGATCGGGTTTTCCGGTGTAAATTTTCCCATCATCCAATTCCATGAATTTTCCATCAGGAGATCATTGATGAATTTGATGAGATCATCACGGATATCTTTGGTTTCAGGTCTAAACGGACGTTTCCCAAGGAGCCAACTTGGGGATGCCAAGGGTTGGCCACACTCATCCCTTTGGAAATGTGATGAGATTTCTCAAGGTTTTCTTGACGTTCCAAGGATTGGTTGGTGTATGGTGTCCTTCATTTCCCAGCAAAACAAACACATCGTATTCCTGAAATTTCCTGAAGATGTCTTTGAATCTCGAAAATATCGGGTCGCCAAAAAATCGCAAGTTTAGACATAAACATATGGCCTGTGATCCTGGAGTTGATTTTTTTTTGAGTACCCTCTGGTAATTTAACATAGCTATTGAAAATGGCCATATATAGTGGATTTTCCCATTGAAAATGGTGATTTTCCATAGTTACGTTAGTTTACCAGAGGGTACATGCAATTGTCTCCCATCTCTGTGTAACAGACACCATGACATCTCCAAGTTGTAGGGCACCCTTATCTGAACTAAAAAAATGACCATATCAAAACCACCGCACCGTAGAATATGAATATACTAGCATCATTGACCATATTTAGGTCTCCATATGCTAATTATCCTATGTCATATGTTGTACTGTAATATGTTTTCAATAGTTAGTGGTTGGTGGTGTGGAACATGTTTGAACATGTTTTTATTGTTCCACATATTGGGAATGTCATCATCCCAACTGACGAACTCATATTTTTCAGAGGGGTGGCTCAACCACCAACCAGATTAGTTCCGGGTTCGTCGCTGGACTGGATGGGAATGATAAGGGTTTAATCATCCCCTATCATAGCCCTAGGTTTTTCAGACTGTAGCAATTTTCTCAGCTATTTAACCAGCTTTATCATGATCATTCAGCCAGATAGAATGGTGTTATACCATGTTATACCATGTTATACCAGTTATACCTAGGTTATACCCCCAATTTTGATGCGGCAATACCCTGTTATACCTTCCATTTACTGGTCACATTCCATCCATTGGTGTTTTTTTTTTAGGCCGCCGCCCTGGTGCGAGAGCCGACAGATCTGTCCCTGCCAGAAGAGGACGTCCCGGAGACCTGGTCGTCGATGGGTCCCTCCAGGGGGATACTCCATCCTGTAGAGAAAGGGGACCATCACTGAATGGGAGAAATACGAACAGGAAAAAATGATGGGAAACTGAATGTAAATATATTGTAAATATATGATAATTAATATGTACATAGATGATTCACCAGGGGTAGAAAGCAATGTTTTGCCTAGCTTCAATTTTCAGAGAAACCCAGCTGTTGATCTTTGAACATGTTTGAAACCTGCGACTATAGGTTCTGATCAAGGGTGGCACCGGAGAGAACGAGGTGCGACTAGGGCGACCCTCGGGCGATGGAGGGGTGACCATTGTATACCATTGTCACATGTCACGAAGGCACAACTCTTTTGCGCAAGGCTAATTTTCTTCGGTGATCAAAGATGGGCTGACAAATCCACTAGTTCGATGAAGGTTTGAATGGTAAAATCATCAAATTAGATGGGGGCTGGCTGGAAGCAAGCCATGTTTGATCGCCGAGGAAAAACGTACCTATATCTATAGAAAAAACCTCAAAATAAAAGGAATAAAACCCCATAATTGGTTTGATAGAACAGGGCTCCAACACCCTGAGCACCTGGGCTTTGGGGAGGTCCCTACATAAATATCCTGGGTTTAAATGATTTTTGCAAGAATGTTCATTGATTAGGCCACTCTCAATTTGCTGCCTGCCAATGTTTAGCAGTTTAGCATAGTTTAGCATAGTTTAGCATAGTTTAGCTGGAAATCAGGTCGCAAAACACGCAGTAATTACATGTAATTACTTAGTAATTACATGTAATTACCATCTAGTTATTTAACATAGTTATGGACAATCCATGATAAATGGAAGTTTATAGCTGGGAACATCGTCTGTAAATGGGCCATGGCTTCCGCCAGGTCATCAATGGCGTCTATTTCAAGCTGTTGGGGCCTCGGTTGATGCAAAATATGAGGCTGTTTTCTTAGTCATCTATCCCAAAATGGTTGGTTTATTTCATGGAAAATCCCAATCTAAAATTGATGATTTGGGGATGCCCCCATGACTCAGGAAACCTTCATATGGACTCAATTTTTTGCGTAATTCATTGTGGCCAAATTCACAAGTCGATTGTGTGAGTGTTCCAGCAACAAGTCCGGTAGTCCGGTAGTGCTCAGTTCGGTGAATTTTACTAAGGATGCACACGTTCGGTGTGAAGGCATTCAAGATGGTTTGGCGCCGAGATGGGCGGAGGTGCAGGTCATGTTGTGAATCATCGGTTTAGACGGCCGTTCCCTCCAAAGCCCTGGTGAGACCCCAGGGCCCCACACCCAATTTTTACACGAATCCCAACAATATCATATACTTGTCACCAGAGGATGAATGAAAACACTGGCTATATGCAGCGATTTTGGCTTGAGGTTTTCAGGATTTAGGGTTTTAATTTAGGGTTTGGGGTTTTAGGGCTTTAAGGTTTTAGGGTTTTAGGGTTTTAGGGTTTGTTGTTTTGGAAATAAATAATAATAATAACCTTATCAGGGATTTGAGCATGTCCAAGGATATGCGGGATTCGCTGCGGGCAAACCAGGGGTTTGCCGCGGACATGTTTGATGTCCAACCCGCATTGAGATTTGGGATTGAGCCAAGCTTTTCA